TCCTCTGTTCATTTTTTAATTGGGTTCTTTATCTTCCTTTTGTTGAGTTGTATGAGTATTCTATATATTTTGGAAATTAACCGCTTATCTCATGTATCATTGGCAATGATGTTCTCCCATACAGTGGATTGTCTTTCCATTTTGATGGTTGTTTCTTTTGCTGTGCAGAAGCTTTTTAGTTTGATGTAGTCCCATGTTTTCATTTTTTCCTTTGTTTCTGTTGGCTTAGGTGCTGTATCAGTGAAAATTCTGCTGCGTATGATGTCCGAAATTTTGTTGCCTACATTTTCTTCTAGAATTTTTATGGATTAACGGGTCACATTTAAGTATTTTATCCATTTTGAGTTCATATTTGTGTATGGTGTAAGTTGATGGTCTAGTTTCATTTGTTTGCATGTAGCTGTCCAATTTTCCCAACACCATTTACTAAAGAGGCTGTCCTTACTCCACTGTATGTTCTTGCCACCTTTGTCAAATATTAATTGAGCATATTGCCTTGGGTCCATTTCTGGGTTCTCTCTTCTGTTCCACTGGTCTATATTGCTTGTTCTTGTGCCAGTACCATGCTGTTTTGATTACAGTGGCTTTGTTGTAAAACCTGAAATCTAGTAATGTGATTCCTCCAACTTTGTTCTCTGTTTTCAATACTGCTGTGGCTATTTAAGGTATTGTTTTGGTTCCATATGAACTTTTGAAGTATTTGTTCTAGTTCTGTGACATATGTCATTCATATTTTGAAGGGGATTGCGTTGAATCTATAGATTGCTTTGGGTAATATGGACATTTTATTGATGTTAATTCTTCCAATCCATGAACAAGGTATGTGCTTCTACTTTTTTATATCTTCCTCTATTTTTTTTTTTTTTTAATGTGCTGTAATTTGCTGCAAATAGGTCCTTTACTTTTTTGGTTAAGTTTATTTCTAGGTGTCTTACCTTTTTTGCCGTGATGGTAAACCGGATTATTTTTTCCGTTTCTCTTTCTGTGAGTTCATCATTAGTGTATATGAGTGCCATCAATTTCTTGACGTTAATTTCATATCCTGCTACTTTTCCAAATTCATTTATTAAGTCTACTAGATTTTTGATAGAGTCTTTAGAGTTTTCTATGTATAATATCATGTCATCTGCAAATAATGACATTTTCACTTCCTCCTTTCCAATTTGAATCCGTTTCATTTTTCTTCCTGTCTAATTTCTGTGGCTACGACTTCCAGTACCATGTTAAATAAGAGTGGTGAAAGTGGACATCCCTGTCTTGTTAATTTTCCTAAAGTAACTGTTTTTAGTCTCTGCCCACTGAGTATGATGTTGGCTGTAGGTTTTTCATATATGCCATTTATTATGTCGAGATGTGATCCCTCTATTCCCACATTGCTGAGTGTTTTTATCAGAAATGGATGCTGGATTTTGTGTAATGCTTTTTCAGCATCTATTGATACGATCATGTGTTTTTTATTCTTCATTTTATTTATGTGGTGTATCACAATTATTGATTTGTGAATACTTTACCAGCCTTACATCCCTGGGATGAATCCCAATTGATCATGATGAATAATTTTTTTTTGATGTATTGCCAGGTCCAATATGTTAGTATTTTGTTCAGGATTTTGGCGTCTATGTTCATCAGGGATATTGGCCAGTAGTTTCTTTCTTTGTAGTAACTTTTTCTGGTTTTGGAGTTAGAATGATGCTGACCTCATAAAACGAGTTCAGAAGTCTTCCTCCTTCTTGCATATTTTGAAATAGTTTGAGGAGAATGGGTGTTCATTCTTTATTGAATGTTCGGTAAAACTCCCCCGTGAAGCCATCTGGGCCTGGGGTTTGTTTGCTTGGAGAGCCTGATTACCTCTTCAATTTCCTAGTTGTTATTTGTCTGTTCAAGTTTTCTATCTCTTCCTAGTCCAATTTGGGAGACTGTGTGTTTCTACAAATTTGTCCATTTTACTTAGATTGTCGAATTTGTTGCCGTATAATTGTTCATAATATTTGTTAAAAATCCTTTATATTTCTGTTGTGTCAGTTATTATTCATCCTCTTTCATTTCTGATTTTGTGTATTTGGGTTCTCTCTCTTTGTTTCTTGGTGAGTCTAGCTAAGGGTACATCAATCTTGTTTATCTTTTGAAAAAACAGCTCTTTGTTTCATTGATCTTTTTTTTTTTTCCTGCTCTCTATGTCATTTATTTCTGCTCTGACCTTTGCTAGTTTCTTCCTTCTACTTGCTCTGGGGTTTTCTTTTTGTTTGCTTTCTAATTATTTAAGTTGTAATGTTAGACAGTCAGTTAGAAATTTTTCTTGTTTCTTGAGGTAGGCCTGTAGTGCTATGGACTTCCCTCTCAGAACTCCTTTCGCTGCATCCCATGGATGTTGTGTTGTTGTGTGTTCATTTTCATTGTTTTCCAGGAAATTTTTAATATCTACCTGGATCTCCTCGGTAACCCATTTATTGTTTTATATCATGCTATTTAGCCTCCATGTGTTCAAATGTCTTTGCATGATTTTGTTGCAATTGATTTCTAGTTTCATGCCATTGTGATCTGAGAAGATGCTTGATATGATTTCAGTCTTTTTGAAATTGTAGAGATTTAGTTTGTGTCCTATAATATGCTATCTTTGAGAATGTCCCATGTGCACTTGAGAACAATGTGAATTCTATAGTTTTGGGGTGTAATTCTCTGTAGATATCTATTAAATCCATTTGGTCCAGTGCTTCATTAACATTCTCTGTTTCCTTGTTAATTTTTGGTCTAGAGGATCTATCCAGTGGTGTCAACGGGGTGTTGAATTCTCTTGCTATGATAGTATTGCTATCGATTTCTTCTTTGAAGTCCTCCAGAAACTTTTTAAATATATTTTGGTGCTCCTATATTGGGTGCATATATGTTTATTAAGGTTATATCTTCCTGTTGGATAGATCCTTTCAATATTATATAGTGGCCTTCTTTGTCTCTAGTTATGGTCTTCATTTTAAAATCTATTTCGTCAGATATGAGTATTGCTACCCCAACTTTTTTTTGCTTCCATTTGCTTGGAAAAATTTTTTCCATCCCTTCACTTTCAACCTATGTGAGTCTTTTGTTGTGAGGTGGGTCTCTTGTAAACAACATACAGATGAGTCATGATTTCTTATCCAATCAGCTACTTTGTGTGTTTTTATGGCAGCATTCAATCCATTTACATTTAAGGTGATTATTGCTATGTACTTATTTATTGCCATTTTTTTTTTTTTTTTTTTTTTTACTGTGGTTATATTTTTCTTCCTCTTTCTTCTACTAATACAGCAGTATTTTTAACATTTTTTTGCAGTGCTGGTTTGATGCTAATGTATTCCCTTAGCCTTTTTTTTTGTCTCAAAAGCTCTTTATTTGACCTTCTATTTTGAATGACAGCCTTGCTAGGTAGAGTAATCTTGGATTCAGATCCTTGTTTTTCATGACATTGATTACTTCTTGCCATTCCCTTCTGCCCTGTAGTGTTTCTTGTGAGAAGTCAGCTGAGACCCTTATGGGGTTTCCTTTGTAGTTAATCTGTTGCTTATCTCTTGCTGCTTTTAGGATTCTCTCTTTGTCTTTAATTTTTGCAATTTAATTACTATATGCCTTGGTGTGGGCCTGTTTGTGTTTTTCTTACTTGGGGATTTCTGTGCTTCTTTAACTTGAATGCCTTCTTCCTTCACCAAATTAGGGAAGGTTTCTGTCACTATTTCTTTGAATATATTCTCCAACCCTTGCTCATTTTCTTATTTAGAGACTCTTATGATGCAAATATTATTACGTTTCCAGTTGTCCCATGGTTGTCTTAAGCTGTGTTCCTGTTTTTTTAATCATTTTTTTCTTTTGTTTTTCTGATTGATTGATTTTTTTCTACCCTGTCTTCTAATTTACTAATCTAGTCCTGAGCTTCCTCTACTCTGCTGTTTAGACCTTCCAATGTGTTCTTTATTTCTGATGTCATTCTTAATTTCTTGTTGGTGGTTTTTAATTTTAAGTTGGTTGATTTTCAACATCTCTATGTCCTTACACATGCTGTTGAGCTTCCTCAAGATAATGGCTCTGAATTCTAGCTCTGTTAACTTTCCTAACTGCTCCACATTGATCTCCTCTTTTGTGGAGGTCTCTTGTTCTTTCATTTGGCATTTGTTTCTGTGTTTTACCATTTTGGCTATTACAGTTGGCTCTGGAGCCTACCAAATTTTCCCTGTGGGTGTTGGTGTTCTGCTGTTTGGGCTCCGTCTCCTGGGTTTGGATGAGCGATGGAGTACCCACATTAAACACCACTGTCAACTTTTACTTTTCTGGTTAGAGTTGCTATCCCAGGAAAGGTACTGTTATCTATCTTTTTGCCTGAAGGCTATCAGTCATTGTTAGTTGAAGAGTTTTGGGTTGTCAGTTGATTGATAAACTCCCTCAGGTGCTCAGCTTAAGGGGATTTCCCAAGGGTGGGGCAGATGTTTGTTGTTAGTCAGCCTCAATTTGCATTTCAATGGCCCACAGGGTGGGGTTGAATCTCTGGGGGAGGGCTGCTGATTCATCCCAGAGCCTGGGGATGTAGCAATATGGCCATAGTCCTGTGTGGCCACAACTCAGCAAAATCTCTGAGCACCCTCCAAATCCTGAGTGTTCCCACACAGTTCCAGTTTAGTCTGCCTTCCCTCTGCCAGACCCCAAGGTGAGTGGCTGTGGCTATTTTAGCATCTGTTCTGGCTCTGCACTGTGGAGCCACTTGGGAGTTTAACCCGAGGGCACTGTTTCCAGCTAAGGCCGCTGCTGTCTGTGGGCTCCCAGCCACCCTCTTGTGTATCTGCAATCCTACCAGGGTCGAGTCAGTGTTCCTGATTATATGCTCCTTGCAAGCTTCTTTTTTGTTGCTTTTTCCCATCGATTTGTCTGTGTTTTAGTTGTAATTCCAGTTTGGTCCCGGGAGATGGTTTGTGTAGCTTCCATTCACTCTGCCGCCTTTTTCGAATCATCTAATTAAGTCTTAACATAGCAATATTAACATGGGGAAAGAAAGCAACATTTATATAACACCTGCTAGGCATTTTACGTAAGTCATATAATTCAAATTTACCCAGCATATATGTACTCACATTGGGTAAGTTTACAATAAAAAGTAGTCAAGTGGGGGAACCCAATGAACAAAATAAATTCTACTACTGTAAGGCTTAATATTATAGTTTAATATTCACAGTCTTGCATGATGAAGGAAATTATATTTTTCTTGTAAAGGAAGCATTTTATTCTATAAAATCTAAGGGCCCAGAATATATCTTAGATATTGTCTGGAAGCTTTTCTACTAATCCTCCAATGGGAAAGCCTGAAAGGTGATGATCTTAACAGAGTTACATGTATTTGTAGAATATCTGTGTGTTAAAGTCATGAAAGGCTTTTGACATATTTTTTTCATTGTTAGAAGTTTGTTGTTCAAGCCAGATGCCTTTCTTTGTTTGTGAAAAGTTTCCTCAAAAGGCTTTCAGTCACCCAAGATGCAAACTATGGGAAGAACAAAACAACAACAACAAAAAGGACTGGGAATGTTTGAGTGCTTTGATTTTTATGGACTTCCAAAAATGTCCTGAAGCTCTCCTGTAATTTCATTACAACATAACTGTGGTTATGGGCTCAGGGCAGAATTGTAGCTTATCGGCAACAATGTATTTGGTAATTTCTTTCCCTTAGGGTTTTGTGACATCTGTGAATTCTGAGCCCTAGGCAGTTGGCAACACAATATAACTTAAATTCCTTTTCTTCATACACAGGGTACTGATTTTGGGGGAGTCTGTAAGTGCCTGTAGTAATCAAGCAAAGACAAAGGAAGATGATTCTGCCATACTTAAGTGGTCATAAATATAATTTATAATAAGCAAGTTTCTGTTTTCTTCTGTATTTTGAAGAACTTGTTAGGATCTTAAACCTAATGAGAGTAAATAAATTAAAAAAAGATTATCTGCTCTCTATGCATTATCAATTTGTTAGCCTTGGCATGCATTGCTTTTTATTCTTAGTGATAACAAGGGAGAGCTAAGTGACTTACATCACTAATTAATCTATTTCTCCTTTTGTCTTTTTCTTTTCATATTAGTCACTATGAACAAGGCTGTAGTGCACCTAAAAAAGGGGAATGGGAGAGGAGGAATCAAGAAGTCCAGCAAGAAGATGATCTCTTTTCTTCAGGTTTTGATCTTTTTGGGGATCCCTACAAGGTAGCTGAATATGTATGTCATTTATCTTTCTGCGAAATGGTTGTTTGTTACAGTTGTCCCTCACCACTTCACTCTTCGACTTTCATGACTTCATTCTATCGCGGTTTTTCTAAATATATTCATTAAAATGTTGATTGAGCACTGGCCAGTTTGGCTCAGCGGTTGGAGTGTTAGCCTCCAGTCCAGAGAGTCCTGGGTTTGGTTCCCACTAAGGTCACTTACCTTGGTTGCAGTTTGTCCCCGGCCCTGGTTGGGGTTGTGTGGGTGGCAGCCAGTCAGTGTGGCTCTCTCACATTGATGTTTCTCTCTTCCTTCCTCTCCCTCTTGCTCTATTTGAAGATAAATACAAAAATGTTCTTGGGTGAGGATTAAATGAATGAATGAATGAATGAATGAATGAATAAATAAATAAATAAATAAATAAATAAATAAATACAAAGTTGATTAAGACAGCGTAAATGATACAGTGCATGCTCGCTTGTCTAAGTCAATTATACACTCCTGTATTACAATTACAATTAAAATCACTGTACTTATGGACTGTAAGCTTATGTATTTGAGCACCCCAGGAATCCTTCAACACCAGGTGCAACCACTAAAGTCTGGAATGGATTAACCACGATAAAGGACGGATGACTGTATATTTTTGTTTGTTAGTAGTTTTAAATTCTCACCCAAGGACATTCTGTCATTGATCTTTAGATAGAGTGGAAGGGAGTGAGCAGGAGAGAGAGAGAGAGAGAAACATTAATGTGAGAGAGACACATTGATTGGTTGCCTTCCACAAGACCCCAACAGGGGCCCGAGATTGAACCTGCAACTCAGGTTATGTCCTTGGGCCAATGTTCTAATCCTGAGCCTAAATGGCCAGGGCACATGGTACATTTTTTAACATACTAATCAACATTCAATTTATTTTTAAAGCACCCAGATCATTTCCAGGAGAATATATTTTACAAATGAAGTATATATGTACACTGCACTGGGGACAATTGCAAATTTATGAGGGAGTCTTCAAAGACAGATTCCATCGTCTTTGATAAGCAAAGTAAGATTTCAAAGGGATTTAGACTTCCTGTCTCCAAAGAGATCTTTACTGCCCAATGCTTCTTATGGCAAGGAATGCCTCCTTGACATTTTCTTCCACTTTGATAATCAGAAAGGCAGCCCCTGAAGACTTTGTCATTTCAATGGATATGTCTCTTTCTCCTCCCAATAAATGCCATCCATTGCAAGTCCATTACTTTATTTTTCCATTTTATGTTGTTAGCAGCTGTTCAGTGTTTTGAATGGTCTTTGAAAATTACTGTTCTGGGACAAAGGGAAAAACCAATTATCTGTCCTGGTGGTTAATATTCATGGTTTTTTAAAGTGTCTCATCCAGAGAGGTAGTGTACAGCAAGGTTGATTTTCTAGTATTATTCTGGCTAATATGTAGTTCCAATAGCAATCATACTGCTATGTCTAAGTATTGATTTCACAAAGACTACCTATGAACATTCTATTTGCCATGGAGGTTGGGGAGATAATTTTAAATTTCTGGCAACTAGCTGGTTCTTATTGAAATATATAAGCAGTGCAATTTTCTGTAATAAAAAAAAAAGATGAAGTAAGAGGTAAAACAAAAATAGATAATATTTTCAAGAGGTGTGATTTTAGAAGAGCACCTCTTAAGGGACAGTGACTTCTGGAGAAGGAAAGGTCTTATTAAGGACTGCATAGGTACACCTATTACTTTGGGATAGAGGGTACATTGTTTGGATTGATGACTAATAAGAACAGTGTTTTGCTGCCTTGTTCAGCATAAGTAACTAACTCTTGATTGAGATCATCAGATGCCTTTAAAATTTGATTAACTCAGACAAAAAAGACTGAAGTCACATAAACTACCAGTTTTTAATTTGTCAGTAATAACATAATTCTTTTTTTAATTAATTAATTTTTGTCACAGATGTTTCTCCTATTCCTCCCAATAAATCCCACCTCCTCGTCCCTTTCCACCCTGTCCCCACCTTTGTTCTCCATGTACATTGTTCATACGTACATGCATATAAGTTATGTGGTGTATCTCTCCCCCCACCCCCACCCCTCTTCAGGGGATTGTCAGTGTATAACCTACTTCCACATCTCTGGGACTACCTCGTTCCTCAAACTATTATGTTCATTATATTCCACAAATAAGTGAGATCATGTGATATTTGTCTTTCTCTGCTTGGCTTGTTTTGCATAGGATAATACTTTCCAGGTCCCTCCATGTTGTTTCAAAGGATAAAAGATCTTTCTCTTTTATAGCTGCATAGTACTCCATTCTGTATATGTACCACTGCTTTTTTTCCATTCGTCTACTAACGGACATTTGGTCTGTTTTCATATCTTAGCTATAGTAAATACTGCTGCTATGGATATGGGTGTACATATATTTTTTCTAATTGGAGTTTCAGGCTTCTTAGGGTATATTCCTAGAAGTGGGATCACTGGGTCAATTAGAAGTTCAATTTTTAATTTTTTGAGGTAACACCATATTGTTTTCTGTAGTAGCTGCACTAGTCTGCATTCCCACCAGCAGTGTACTAGAGTCCCCTTTTCTCCACACCCTCGCCAACACTCGTTGTTTGATGATTTGTTGATGGCGGCCATTCTGACAGGTGTGAGGTGATATCACATTGTTGTTTTAATTTGCATCTCTCTGATGAATAGTGCCATTGAGCATTCTTCATATGTCTCTTAGCCATTTGTATGTCCTGTTTGGAGAGGTGTGTATTTAGTTCCTTTGACGATGTTTTAATTGGGTTCTTTGTCTTCCTTTTGTAGAGTTGTATGAGCACTCTTATATATTGAAAATTAACCCCTTATCTGATATATCATTGGTAATTATGCTCTCCCATACAGTGGGTTGCCTTTCCATTTTGATGATTGTATCTTTTGCTCTGCAGAAGCTTTTTAGTATGACGTAGTCCCATGTGTTCATTTTCTCCTTTGTTTCTGTTGCCTTAGGTGATGTATCAGTAAAAATTTTGCTGTGTATAATGTCTGAAATTTAGTTGCATACATTTTTTTTCTAAATTTTTATGGATTCATGAATCACATTTAAGTCTTTCATCCATTTTGAGTTTATTCTTGAGTATGGTGTAAGGTGATGGTCTAGTTTCATTTTTTTTTCATGTAGCTGTCCAATTTTCCCAGCACCATTTTTTAAAGAGGCTGTCTTTCCTCCACTGTATGCTCTTGCCCCCCTTGTCAAATATTAATTGAGCATATTGCCTTGGGTCCATTTCCGGGTTCACAGTTGTGTTCCACTGGTCTATATGTATATTCTTTTGCCAGTACCAGGCTGTTTTGATTACAATCATTTTGTAGTATACCCTGAAATCTGGTATGTGATCCCTCCTACTTTGTTCTTCTTTTCAAGATTGCTGTGGTCATTCGAGGTCTTTTTTGGTTCCGTATGAACTTTCAAAGTATTTGTTTTAGTTCTGTGAAGTATATTGTTGGTATTTTGATGGGGACTGCACTGAATCTATAGATTCCTTTTGGTAGTATGGACATTTTAATGATGTTAATTCTTCCAATCTATGAACAAGGTATGTGCTTCCACTTTTTTATATCTTCCTCTATTTCTTTTTCAATGACCTGCAGTTTTCTGCAAATAAGTCCTTTATTTTTTTGGTTAAGTTTATCGCTAAGTATCTTAATTTTTTTGCTGCGATGGTAAATGGGATTGTTGTATTAATTTCTCTTTCTGTGAGTTCATTATTGGTGTATAAGAATGCCATTGATTCCTTGATGTTAATTTTGTATCCTGCTACTTTGCTAAATTTGTTTATTGATTTTAGTAATTTTTTTATGAAGTCTTTGGTGTTTTCTACGTATAGTATCATGTCACCTGTGAATAATGACAGTTTCACTTCCTCCTTTCCCATTTGGATCGCTTTTTTCCCCCTCATCTCTGATTGCTGTGGCTATGACTTCCAGTAATATGTGAAATAAAAGTGGTGAATGTGGGCATCCTTGCCTTGTTCCTGTACTTAAGGGAAATACTTTTAATTTTTGCCCATTGAGTATGATGTTGGCGGTAGGTCTTTCATATATGGCCTTTATTATGTCGAGATATGATCCTTCTATTCTCAGACTGCTGAGCATTTTTTATCAGAAATCGGTGCTGGATTTTGTCAAATGCTTTTTCAGCATCTATTAATGTGGTCCTATGATTTTTTGTTTAATTTTGTTTATGCGATGTATCACGTTTATTGATTTGTGAATCTTGTAACAGCCTTGCATCTCTGGGATGAATCCCACTTGGTCATGGTGAATAATTTTTTTTTGATGTATTGCTGGATTCAATTTGCTAGAATTTTGTTCAGGATTTTGGCATCTATGTTCATCAGGGATATTGGTCTGTAGTTTTCTGTATTTGTAGTGTCTTTTTCTGGTTTTGGAATTAGAATTATGCTGGCCTCATAAAATGAGTCTGGAAGTCTTTCTTCTTCTTTAATGTTTTAAATAGTTTGAGGAGAATTGTTATTAATTCTTCTTTGAATGTTTGGTAAAATTCCCCTGTGAAGCCATCCGGGCCTGGGCTTTTGTTTGCTGAGAGAATCTTGTATACATCTTCAATTTCTTCTGTTGTTATTGGCCTGTTCAAGTTTTCTATCTCTTTTCGATTCAGTTTTGGGAGACTATGTGTTTCTAGAAATTTGTCCATTTCCCTTATATAGTGGAATTTCTTTTCATATAGTTGTTCATAATACTTGTTAACAATCTGTTGTATTTCTGTGGTGTCAGTTATTATTTCTCCTCTTTCATTTCTGACTTTGTGTATTTGGGTTCTCTCTCTTTGTTTCTTGGTGAGTCTAGCTAAGGATCCATCAATCTTGTTTATCTTTTCAAAGAAACATCTCTTTGTTTCATTGATCCTTTGTATTGTTTTTTTGTTTGTTTGTTTTTTTGGTCTCTATCTGCAGGGTTTTGAAGTGTCCTACTATGATTGCATTGCTGTCAAT